CACTAATAAAGGTACTAACCTTCGAGTGTCTAAAGATCTGCGCAAACGTAGACACTTTTGTGTCTGATGTGAAATAAAATAATCCAGAGGTAAAATTCTCATAATCACAAACCAGCCATACCCTGTGCAGACGTAGGTAGATACTTGTTGTGTCCAGGGCCCCGATTGCGGTAAAAAAATTTAGCTGCAATGCAACTGGACGACGAACGAAAATCAGCTACCTATTGAGCGTACTGCGCCTTTGCGTAAAAGCTGGCATAAAGCAACTTTATCTCAAACGCTTCACGAACATTGGCTATGTTTTAATAATTTTAGTTTAAAAATAAGGTGTTCGGACTTTTAATGGAAAGTGCATATCCGTTGTTTCGTCTTTGTTTGTCGATAACCGCGATACAGAATTGCACATCAGCTGGAATGAAAATAGAGTGCGACTGAGAATGAAATGCAAATGAATTGGAGACATTTTACAAATTAAAGCAATCGAGGTCCAGTGTGCTTACCATGAGTTTTCGTTAGGCGAGCTCGCTAGAGAGTACGTCAAAAAATTCTATGAAGATTTTATTTCTTGAAAGTAGCCACTAGGGGCGCTGCACAATATGTCATACATTTAATGTCATTTTTTTACGTAGTCGCTAACGAGCACACCTAACGTTAACTCGTGGTAAGCACACAGTTGTTTCAACTAGACGTCATACAACGAATCGGTTTCGTGGTAATCCCGCGTTGCGTCGGTAACAAAAAGTTTCTACGTTTTCGCAGCCCCTAAATAGCGTATGTTTCGTACTGCTGACATTCAAAAGTTTGATTGCTACATAGTCGAAAATGTTCCATTTTTGACTTTCGATGGACCATTTAACCTCTCCTCGTTTTTATGAAGCATGACCAACTAATTGCTCTTGAACGTATCAATTCAATATTTTTGTTTGATAACAACGCTTTACATTTCGGCTGTGGACGCCAGCTTTAAAACTAAGAGTGTCTCAAATTCTCAATATTTCCAGTGATTTATGGTGTGGAATTCGTTCCGAGAATTGAGCAACTTGATAAAAATATGCAATATCATCCATCCTATCCGTTACATTTAGAATTTAATGAATCTTCGGATCTTTTGTTCGTTCTTATAATTAAAACTCGAGTATTTTTTTCTTATGAATTGAACTATAGCCTTGACACGCTAGATATCTTTTTTTTTCTCTCTAGCTATTATCTGTATAGTAAATAGGTTCTAATATGATTTACGTTTTTGTAAAGAATCTAACGATAATGAGATTTTTAACCAAATCGATTTTGGCTTTCGTATTTTTTTACTATAACGAGGTAAATTAACTTAAGTACCTAACCTTTTTACGACGGATCAAACTAGCATTCTCGACTCTGCCATTGATTCTACTATGACTCTGATCTCTTAATACCGACACTATTAAGGGCTATCGTCGCCTGTATTTTACAATTATTGCCATCCTTTATTGCCACACAGAGAAAGCTACTCGTGAATTGTCATGTTAAGCTCAATTCAATTGGGTATTACGAAAAATAACCTACAAGGTATAATGATCGGGTCCGTTCCCGTGAGGTTATCATACTTTATAAACCTTAATAATGATGTTGACTCGAAGCTTATTGCCAAGTGTTATAATTGGCTGAAAATATCGAATAAACCTCGCACATGGGGAGAAGGCCTGTTATTATAACGTACAATTAGAATGGATGGGCGTCGGACACAATGTAAGAACGTGTAGAAAGCCTGACTGGCTATACCTACGCGACTTTTGTAAATTAATTTGCCTGCTCAAAAAATTACAATAATTGCTATTAATTTCGCCTTTAGCTAGGGCCTAGTTAAAAAATAAGAAAAGATGCTTGCGAGACTAAAATAACTCTTTTCTTTTTTCTTTAACTAGGCCCTTTTAATACAATTAACTCTTTTTAATTAAAGGCTTTTTATGTAGTTTAGGGTAACATAATAACCATATTATACAAAAAATAGTAAATTCTAAATGCCATAAGATTAATTACAAAAAGAATAATGCTTACATAGAAATGGAACGCGAAAGCATAAAATCTTATAAAAAAGAATACTTAATGCTCTCAATGAAATAAAAATAAAAGTATGAAACTGGTAGTTTCAGTAGTTATACAATTCCAAATTAATAATCGCTACATTGAAAGCTATTGTCTAGCTAGATATCGGATTCCAACTGCATTTGGGTACTTCTCATTTACACTCAAATTTGATGGTCACACAGTAATAGTTCTTAAACGGTATAAGTTAGAACAATAACTTTGAAATCAGATGATAAAATATCTATTTAGCTACATACAAAATAAATTTTATCGTAATAGAAGCAAAAATAATACGAAAAAATCACATGAAACGATAAAAAACGGGGTCATTTTTCGCGTTCTCATCGTGTCACACCTTCGGTTGCAATGAAACATTTGGGTACTGCATTCACAATTTTTATTCAATTTGTGTGTATCATATACTAAAATCATCGTAATTAAATATACTTTCCACACAACAGTCAAAAAAAATATCTTCTTATAATTATTTAGAATTGAGAAAGCGAAATACGTTGGTCACACGATTTTAGGTACCTAAAATTTTGAGTAATAATACAAAATTGCCGTTAAACCGAACACCAGAAACCAATCACAGCATTCTATTCGGTTAACGTCAGTCGCGCTTCGACCATTGGGGAGGTGAGATAGGTCGATCGTCGCTCCGCGAAAAAAATACGTATCTTTTTGTGATTATCCATAGACATTGATCAGTATGGGCATGTATGGGAGTACACACTACGCCGATTCGATTTGGCCGATTTTTCATACAATTTAAAATCGGGCACAACTATCGGCCAACTAAAAATCAACGGTGTGCGCCTACTCTAAGAGTAGGTTAATGTGAGTTTACATCAAATGTTTTTACTAGTGACTGCGTAAAAAAATGACATGAATGTTGTACCTACAGCGACCCTAGCGGATACTTTTTGACGCGCTCGCTAGTGGTCGAAGTTTCATGTAAACTCACACCAAGCCATCTGAAATTGAAACAATAATTGACTCTTATTTATGTTAATTACGTATTACAAAATGACTTTGGTTTACTTACACTCAAAATTGTTTTTAGATGAATGAGGTTCTAATGTTACTCGGCTTAGTTACTAGCTTTAATTATATTATTGTTATATTATTTTAGGTCAATCTGTTAAGTGTAGATAATAATTATTTTATTTTCCAGTGTTGTGATTGTGAATATGTAAGATCATGATTAGGTAGGAATTTTGTTGATTTTGTGAATAAAGTTGTAAATGCCATGAAGGTAAGTGATGTATAGGTTATTTTTATATTTTATTAAGTACAATAATTTATTTTTATGGGCACTTGTAGACCAATTGACGATTGTAAATGTTGTGTAATGTTTGTTACATACAACTGGACTAGGGTTGTAATCTTGTAATAAAATACCTACATAATGGGTTTCTTAAATACATACCATTACTTATGTTGAAAATTAAAAAGAAAAAGATTAATTTTAGATGATATTATTCAAACTGTATGAGCTTTTGTTATTGTTTAATACACAATAGTTAGTAGTGAATTTAAAAGTAGCTAGACAAACTTATAGTTAAATCACATACTTTTTATTTACCTGAATATTTATCATTCACAGGGTAATTTATTGATTGTTGTAGTTTTGTAGATTATTTGTCTTATTTATAATCTTTTTATTATTATTTTATTTATACAGTTATTTTTGTTTTTTTTTCTATTATGCATACGTTATAATGTTGTTATTATTCTTTTGAGAATAATAAAACTTCTTTGGGATTAATGTATTATTATCTAGATAATTTAAAGTTATTATTTTCATTACTTGGAATAAAATGGTAATTTCTATTGGTATGTAAAGTGTTTTATTATTGAAATGGGTCAGACGGATGACTTTAATACCTATAATGAAGTCATTATGAAGCTGAATAACTGAATGTAGTTTTTTGTATTTAGGGGCCGTTCAAGTATTACGTAAGCACCAAGGGGGGGTGGGGGGGTCTCTGCTTTGCTTATTTTGGATGACATGGAGGGTAGGGGGGTCTAGATGATGATTACGTCATCGTTAGTTATTTACGTTTTTTCGGGGATTCCCGCAAATAATACATATGCGTAGGCACTCGCTTTGAGAACTGATTAGGGGAATTACCGCATATTAGGGAAATTACCGTTCGCTATTCACTTGTCTAATAATTAACTCTCGTGCAGACACTGCCCAATGCCCATTGAAATTTGACAGTCGTAGTCCGCATATTATTATACGCGAGGCCGGCCTCCCGCGCGCGTGTTTTGTTTGGATACTAAACGTATTGTAAGCATTGAAAGTTATCATTTGTGTTTATGTTGATGCATAATTGATGCAATTATGTTTTTTATGTTCTTTATTTCTGATTATATTTTTTTGTCCTCTATGTGTATCAGTTAAACCTAATATTTTCATGAATTTTCCTATTTTAAAAATGACAATATAAAAAACATTTATAACTAAAAATGTTTACGTAAGCATAGGGGGAGGGGGTAAGTGCTTTGCTTACTTTTGATGACAAGGGGGGCGGGGGGGTAAAAAATGGTAAGAAATCTGCTTACGTAATACTTGAACGGCCCCTTAAAACTGGTGATGGTGAATTAGATCATCTTCCTAATGGTCCAGTGGCTACAGTGTTGGTAATGCATGAGTTTGAACCCTGAAACTGGTCAGATTTATTTTTGTTATTTGCTGATGCTCTTAGGTGTTGGTCATATAAATCCTCTCGCAACAGCTGGAAAATCTCGAACATGGGAGAAGAGAGTAAGCTCCACATGAAAATACTTTATTTATCGTAGTTTTAAATGCTCTGCACAAACACACATAAATACTACACAACTAACGAATGAATATGCAATTTCGAAAAGGGCACTGTAAGCAAATTAAGATTCTGTTATTCATCAGAAACACGCCTAATAGTGTTCAAACATATTATGTCGTTCTCGAAAATGCATATTACCCAATTGCAATAAAGCCTTCGTCATGTGTCGGGCTTCCTAGTGATGTGTTGATGCACCCAGTCCCAGATTATGTGGTGCGAGAGACGCGTATAAACGCCGGGAAAGTTCCCGCGCGCGCAGCCAAGGCCCCAAGACACCACGCCGATCAGCACGCCGTCGCTTACTATCGGCCCGCCGCTGTCACCCTGGTAAAAATGGTTCAAATTCTCAATCGGCAGACTTCCATTGCTGGATTAGGGAATTCCCCAAGGTTTCGCATAGCAGTCGGTCCTGCGGACTCCTTTGCCGCTTGCATCCAGGAGTATTCGTACCCTGTACAAGGCATTCAAATTCTAAGCCGACAGACGTCCATTGCTGGATAAAGGATTCCCCTAAGGGTTCGCATAGCAGTCGGTCCTTCGCCACTTGCATCCAGGAGTATTCATGCACTGCACAAGACAGGTCAATGGGCCATTTACTGGGAGGCCTCTGGTCCGTGATAGCCACTCGAGAACTTTCTGCCCTAATGGCTATCATTCTACGAGGCACGTGCTTCGCCCACCATCTACTTTCTTATCTTCAAGACTTCTAAGTAAGTGGTAGGTATGTTCTAGACAAGCGGTCCAAAATAAAAATAGTCACAGCGGGCGCGTGTCGCAGTTACCTAAAATATCTTCAAGTCACGTAAACAAAATGTCACCATCTACAACCTTCGCGGCCTATGTTCCTCTCGTTAAAAAATCACCAGCGATTCCCATCGTCTTACTCTTAACCCACAATGTCTAAAAGATTTACTTACCTGGCAAGCGTCGGGCGAAGGCTGCGTGAAGGAGCCGGCACAGAACATGGAGGGAGGGTCGATGGCCTTGCGGTCCAGCCCCGAGTGCTTGCACAGCTTCATGGCTACTGTCTTGATGGTGGACGACTGGAGGTACGTCGCGCTTGGACCCCCCTCCTGATAGAAATAAAGAAAAGATACAATTTCGTATAGTCCACTGATTATTTTAAAACAGTCAGCGTGAAAACCTACTTAATCGAGCAGCTAAAGATTTTACTACCTAGGTTTACTTAAGTATGTCCTAGGTAATTGTAAAAGGGAAGATGACTCTCTACTTCGGAGGGTTTGATGGAGCTGCCTATCTTTGAATCCTCGTAAAGCTTGGATGGTAGGTATTTACAGCTCACACAAAAATACAAGGGATCGTATTAATGTAAGACCTTCTCACTTTTTTCAGGCTTGAAATTACCTTCAACTTGCCCCATCCAGAAACAATAGCAGGCACATCAGCCAGCAGCCTCGCTTCCCTCGCTACCAGCTTGATCGGCAGCACCTTCTCGGAGAAGCGGAGCGGCGAGTACAGCCGCACCAACCCCACGTCGTTGATCTTGGTCTTGCTGATGTAGCGCGGGTGCACGAAGCACTCTTTGACGTCATACATCTCGCCACCATGCGTCTTCCATGAGGAGCCCAGGCGGACGCTTAGTTCGCTTGAGCGGGCCCTGAAAAAGATTTAACTAAGGAGTGCATATTTTCACCGGCATTATAAATGTTGTGTCATTTAAATAAATGAAAAAATAGCACCGAATGAACCAGTTAAGTATATGGCTTCAAAGATATTATTCGCATAGTTTTAAGTTCCTAAACTTCATCAAAAAGCGTGATTTAGACTTATTTCATAACCAGTCTTTGTAAACAGATCTACCTACTAGATAGATAGTAACTAGGTAAGTAGGTATCACGATAGTTTCGAATCCCCAATNTAAGAGGCTGGTTAACACAAGTAGCATTTATTGAAAGTAAAGAAAAAAAATTATACAATACTGCTTGATATTGTGATTTGTTGGAGTGACAAGTTTTCGAACGAACATCTGAGTCACGGGTGATGACCGGCGCTTTTTGGAGGGTCCTGCCTTTTTGCTTGGTTGGCGGTGATCGCGAACGGAAGTTCTGTTGTACGTGGTGTGATAGTGTCCCGAATTCCAAGAGGTCTGAACCGTGCCGTTCCCTGATAAACGGGCAGGGCACGCATTTCATCCTCTACGTAAAAAAGGAATTTCGGAATAACTCCGAAAGCCCCGTGATTTTGCGGACTCACTGCCACGTGCTGAGTTCTTTTACTGAAGATTTTGGTTGGGCAGTGCTCGGTGGCGAGCTCTGCGCTGTGTCCTGCTTTATTTTGGATTTTGGATTTTTCCTCCGTTGAAGGAGGTGTTTGGCACCGGCTGTCCCGCAGTGCCAGACGCTTGCTGCGCCCGACGGGTGCGGAGGGGGTTGAGCCGAGTGGTGGTGACTAGCGCGCTAATCCCGTAATCTTAAGTATTTTTAATCTGTACCAACCAAACGGCCCAACGACCCATCCCCTTTTTTTCTTTTAAATTTTTGTGTCTAAACCACAATTAAATTGTTGTCAATTTAAATATTTATTTTTTATTTTGCTCCGGCAAATTTTAATATTTACATGGCGCCCGAACAGGGACGTTGTTGGGTCCGTGGAGATTCTCCCCGGCACTGGTCTATTGCTCAGTGACGGATTGGTTGGTCATCTTAAGTTTTCTTTCTTATTGTTATAATTTTATAATAAGTATAACCATACTGTAGTGTGTAACGAATATCACAATAAGCCGAATATTGTAACTTACTTTACTTTTTGCTAAAATTATTATTTTGATAAGTCGATATGAGGGAGGAACGCCCTATCCGGTTTAACATTTTAAACAAAGACGAATTGGTTTACGAGGTTGCCATACGAGATGCTGTGCCTGAGAAAACGGTAGAGCTGTTGCGCGCACAGATTAGACAATTGGCTCAGGATATACCTAGCGATGAGGTGAGTGAGTTCGAGGGAGATGCGCTGGCCGAGCTGAGAACTATTTCCTCCAAATTAGACGAGCTTGAGGAGCTGTGTAATAGGAAGCCCCTATTACTCAAAAAGCTAAATAGAGTGCAGACTTTAGGAAACCGTGGGTTTTATACATAGGTTAAGCCGTGTTGAAGCTAAAGAGGAGAGTGATAGGACTTTGAGGGAACAGTTGGAGGAGCGTCTCATCCCACTTTTAAAACGGATCGACCGTATGACGCACACATTCGTTAGTAGTTATGATTTCCAACCTGCAGAGGAAGATGTGTCTAAAGCCTCTGGTTCGGCCGTGGATGAGTCATTGAAAAACAAATCTGTAGTGTCTTGTGATCGTGCTTCGTATGTTCACTCTCTAAATTTAAAATATAACGGGAAGGATAGTGTGCAGGATTTCATTGTTAGGATTGAAGAATTATGTAAATCTCGTAATATTGCAAAAGAAAGATTATTCAATTCAGCGGCCGAATTATTCACAGATGAGGCTCTATTTTGGTACCGAGGTACTCGTGACCAACTAAATAGTTGGGAGGATTTAAAGGCGTCGTTGCTGGAAGAGTATTTGCCCTACGACTATGATCATCGTTTGTTGCAGGAGATTCGTTCGAGGACCCAAGGTCCCGACGAATCTATTTGTAGTTATCTAAGCCTGATGCAAAATTATTTTTCGAGGTTGCGTAAACCTTTAGACGATGAAGAGAAGTTGAGCTTGGTCAAGTTCAACATTAGGCCATCTTACTCCATTCCTTTGGTCAATGTAGAAATAAAATCGTGGGCCGACTTGAAGAGGCATTGTAGGCAGTTGGAAGCGGCGAAACAGAGGGCAGAATCCTTCACCGAACCCCCGCGCGGTGTACAGAATGCTGTCGCCCCTGACCTGGCCTACAAAGGTAAGTCTGCTCGTCCAAGGTGCGAGGCTGTGGTTAAAAATCCGAGCGTTGAGAAATTTTGTGTGCGTTGCCGCGTACATGACCATACTCTCCTCGATTGTAATGCTCCTCGTGTAATTATTTGCTACCGATGTGGTGAGAAGGGCGTGACGGCGGTAAATTGTCCGAAATGTGGGCGTAAGAAGGATTCTACACCAGAGTCAAAAAACGCGTAAAGTCGAACCGTCGTTTCGATATTACACCGGTTGAAGAGTGGCGTGCTTGGTGTGATTACGTGCGTGTATTTTCAAAAAATTACAAAGCTAATGTCTCGATGGTTCGACCAAATGATTGCCAGGACGCGCGTCCTTATTTAAATGTTAAAATTGGTGGTGTTCCATATTCTGGGTTACTAGATTCTGGGGCAGAAATTTCTATTATCGGTGGTTCTGCTGTGAATTATTTTTCTCACCTGGGTGAGTTGTATAAATCGGATTCGACTGATGCTGTGGTAACGGCGAATGGTTCAACTTCCCCTACAGTTGGATATATGTTTTTACCTGTCGTAGTGAATGATGTTTCAAGGGTTATTAAGTTTCATGTTGTTCCGGGAGTCTCGTCGTCTTTATTGTTTGGTATAAACTTCTGGAAGGCTTTCCAGATCGCGCCTGATGTTTTGCGGCTTACAGATCGGAAGAATTTAATTGTCTTTCGAAGACCTGCTGAAGCAGTCGTGTCTCAGGTTAATCGTATTCATCCTTTTGATGTCTTAACAGAAGAACAGAGGAGGTTGGCTGGTGATGTATGTAAGATGTTTGAGGATATTTCGGCTGAGAAGAAAGGGTTGGGTAGAACTCACCTGATTTCCCATCACATCGATACTGGTGATGCTCCTCCTATTAAGCAGCGGTATTATGTCATGTCACCCGATAAACTTCGTGAGTTGAACCGTCAATTGGATGAAATGATCGAGATGGATGTTGTCGAGCCGAGTTGTAGCCCATGGAATAACCCCATCACCATGGCTCCCAAGGCTAATGGGGAAATGCGTTTTTGTCTGGATAGCCGGAAGCTTAATGAAGTGTCGAAACATGATGCCTACCCACTTCCTTACATCAATAATATTCTAGACCAGCTTCGAGACTCTCGCTTTCTTTCTTCTATAGACCTGAAGGCCGCTTTTTGGCAAATTCCCCTCACTTCTTCTTCCAAGGAGAAAACCGCGTTTACCGTGCCGTCGCGTGGCTTATTTCAATTTAAAGTTATGTGCTTTGGTTTGACTTCAGCACCAGCTACTCAGCAGCGGCTGATGGATAAATTGTTTGGTCCTGAATTTGGGGGGCGTGTATTTATTTATTTAGATGACGTGGTCGTGGTTAGCAAGACCTTTGAGGAGCACATAGAGCTCCTGCGTGAAGTTTTTGAGCGTTTGCGTTCAGCAAACCTGACGGTGAATTTGTCTAAGTGTTGTCTGTTTCGCCGACAGTTGAAGTATTTGGGTTATGTTGTAGATGAGTTGGGGTTGAGAACGGATCCAGATAAAATTAAAGCTATCACGAATTTCCCGATCCCCACTTGCCCTAAAGATGTTAAAAGATTTCTTGGTACGGCGTCGTATTATAGGCGATTCATCCGTGGTTTCAGTACAATCGCTGCTCCCTTAAATGCCTTGACCTCTACGCGGAAGAACAGACCCCCTTTTGTTTGGTCTCCTGAGGCTGAGCAGGCGTTTTTACAGTTGAAAAGCGCCTTGACTTCAGCACCCGTATTAGCCTGTCCAGATTTTTCCCTTCCTTTTGTTGTACACACAGATGCGTCTGATGTTGGTATTGGGGGAATGTTAACGCAGATTTTTGATGGTGAAGAGCATCCTATTGCGTATTATAGTCGTTCTTTAACTCGACAGGAGCGTAATTACTCCGCTACGGAAAGAGAAGCGTTAGCCGTGGTGCAAGTAGTGGAACATTTTCGACCTTACTTGGAAGGTCATAAACCTTTTAGAATTATTACGGATCACGCAAGCTTGAAATGGTTTCTTAATTTGCGAAATCCGTCTGGGCGTTTAGAGCGCTGGGGTTGTAGACTCTCCCCTTATAATTTTATTATAGAGCATCGACGTGGCAGAGAACATCTGATTCCAGATTCTCTATCCCGTACTGTACCTGTGTCCGTTGTGAATACTGCGATGGTGGATCCTTGGTTTCAGAATCTTTATTCACGTTGTCATGACAGACCTCAAACCTGTCCTAATTACCAAATAATAGACGGTAAGCTTTATCGTTACACTAAAAGTAAATCATCTTTAACGGGGGATTTCGATTGGAAGGAGGTGGTACCATTGAATGATAGACCACGTCTGATTACGGAAAATCATGATTCTCCTTTAGGTGCTCATTTAGGAGTCGAAAAGACGTATAAGCGATTGCGTCTCCATTTTTATTGGCCCGGGATGTATAAAGACGTAGAAGACTACGTGTCGAAATGTGAAACGTGTAAAGCTTATAAACACCCAAACCAAACCACTCCTGGTTTATTTGGAAACCCTAAGGTTTGTCGTAGACCCTTCCAGTGCCTCAGCATTGATTTAGTTGGTCCACTGCCCAGGTCTCGACAACAAAATGAATATCTCCTTGTAGTGGTGTGTTGTTTTTCGAAATACGTGTTGGTCTTTCCCCTTCGGCGTGCGACTGGTAAAGTGGTGGCTCAGCGCTTGGAGGATCATGTTTTTCTAGTACACGGGATCCCACAAACGGTCATCGTGGATAATGGGCCACAGTTTATTGGACGTGACGTGAGAGCCTTGTTTGAAAAGTATAGAATACCCCAAATACACTATACCCCTACTTATTGCCCACAAGTGAACACAGTGGAACGGTATAACCGTACCATTGTCACAGCTGTCGCCGCACTTGTAGGTAATGATCAGCGTGGTTGGGATTCTCACCTTTGCGAAATTCAATTTTCTCTTAACACTGCTGTTAACGATACCACTGGTTTTACTCCTTTCCTGTTGGTACATGGGCGTGAAGCTGTTGCTAATGGAAATGTCTATGGAGACAGTGAAGATGTGGATGACCTTGTTATTGAGTCCCGTGCGGACTATGTTGACAGAATGGGTGCGTTGAAAGAGGTATTCCTAGAAGTAGAGAAGCAGTTAAAGAAATCTCACTCACGAAATGCCAAATATTATAATAGGCGTCGGAGAGATGTCGAGTTTGAGGAAGATGATGTGGTTTGGCGGCGCACGCATGTCCGTAGCGACGCTGCTAAACATTTTTCTTATAAGCTGGCACCTAGATTTGAAAAATGTAGGATTGTTAAAAAGTTATCTAAACTTGTTTACTTGCTGGAAGATGAAAATGGTAAACATAGTGAATGTCACGTGAAAGACATTAAGGGTTTAGATTGAAAGGTTGATCTTTGTTGTGAATAGTGGTGGTTTGTTTTCTGTTAGATAGGTTGATGCTGGAGGGCCAGCGTGAATTTTTCTCGTTATCCTCGTAAAATTCTGGTGGGTGAGGGGGTACTGTAACACTTTTTTTTTGGGCGAGATTGAATACTTACCGATTTCCACAAACAAACATTCCAACGGACCGTAAGGTCACATATTACAAAGTGTACAGTATTCCCTTTGTCACTTGATTGTGTCATTGTAAGTGATTCACTGAGTTTTGATTAACTTCTATTAAAATTAATTACATTGTTTTGGTACACAGAGCAATAAATAACCTCACTTTTTGAATGTCTCCGTTTGACAGATCAATGCGTTACGTTCCATTCTTTTAGTATAGAAGAAATGTATAATGAAATTAAATATTCAACACTAAATTTTTATAAAACTTAATATTTAGGCTCTTTAATTTAAATTCTAGCTATTTCTAGTATTTTCCTCAATGTTTATATTAAAATAACATTGTAATGTATCTTGATCGATCATGGGTTCGGAACGTTCTAGAAATTTGACATATTCTGAGCGAAACGAAACGCGCGGGAGACGGTCCGAATACTGTGAGTGACGTTTCTTCTGTTTCTAAAAGTTAAATAAATTAATTAAATTTAAATCGGAGGAGCAGTTTTGTGAGTTCTCATATCAAGATTATTCAATAAGAGGCTGGTTGACTCAAATAGAACTTATTAGAAAAAGAAATAAAAAATAAAAACGAAGAAACATTTTTATGGTTTGTTATTGTTGGGTTCGATTCGGACCACAAGTCACGGGTGATGACCGGCGCTTTTTGGAGTGTCCTTTTCTTTTTGCTGGGTTGTCCGTGCTCGCGAGTGGAGGTTCCGGTGTGCGTGGTGTCCTAGTGTCCCGATTCCAGGAGGTCCGAACCGTGCCGATTCCCAAATAAACGGGCAGGGCACGCATCGTCATCCTCAGCGAAAATAAGGGAATTCAGAAATAAATCCGAAAGCCCCGTGATTTCGTGGACTCACTGCCACGTGCTGAATTTTATTACGGAAGGTAAGCAGGTCCTATTCCAAGGATTACCTTGAGTTTCTTCTTGTTATTTTGTTGTTTGCATTGGCGGCATTGTTAACCAATGCACTTGGTTGTCATTCGCAGATTGTGTGTGGTTGAGCAGTGCTCNAATAGAAACATTTTTATTGTTTGTTATTGTTGGGTTTGATTCGGACCACAAGTCACAGGTGATGACCGACGACTTTTGGAGAGCCTTTTTGCTTGGTTGGCCGTGCTCGCGAGTGGAAGTTCCGGTGTGCGTGGTGTCCTAGTGTCCCGAATTCCAAGAGGTCTGAACCGTGCCATTCCCTGATAAACGGGCAGGGCACGCATCGTCATCCTCAGCGTAAAAAAAGAATTTTGGAATAAATCCGGAAGCCCCGTAATTTGGCGGACCCACTGCCACGTGCTACGCTTAGACCCACACTTAATCGAGGTAAGCAGGTGCTATCCCAAGGATCACCTAGGATTTCTCCTTGTTATTTTCTTGTTTGCATTGGCGGCATTGTTAACCAATGCACTTGGTTGTTATTCGCAGATTGTGTGTGGTTGAGCAGTGCTCGGTGGCGAGCCTCTGCGCTGTTGCTGTCTGTTGTTGATGTTGCTGATGTTGCCTCCATAGCAGGTATGTTGTGGTTTCTTTCTCAAACTCATTCGCCTCTCCGCTGAGTTAGGATGAATTACTAGAAACGTCCACCACGGTCCAGGGCTACCCTACTTCATAGGTTGGTTCCGTTTTCTATTGAGCTTGTCAATTATTTTAGTTTACTTTGAAAAAGTAGATTACCCACACAATGATTACATTTTACCAAAATGATAATTCTTAAATAAATTTACCATTGTGATGTATTATCGATGGATTTTGTTGTGTTAACTATTTTAGTTCGCTTTGTGAAGGTAAATGATGTAATAATTACAATGATTACATTTTACCAAAAAGTAAATTCCTAAATAAATTTACCATTGTAATGTATTATCGATGGATTTTGTTGTGTTAACTATTTTGGTTCGCTTTGTGAAAGTAGATGATGTAATAATTACGATGATTACATTTTACCAAAATGTTACTTTCTAAGTAGATTTACCATTGTAATGAATTACCGTTGGATTTTGCTGTGTCCACATTTGCTCCATCCTCGAGAGCGATGGATTATTGTTTTTAAATTGTTTTTACTATTGTGCTGTTTGTATAATATAATTTTTTATTGTACAATAGGAGGTGTATGGTACCGGCTGCTCTGTTTGGCACCGGCTGCTCTGTTTGGCACCGGCTATAAGGTGTTTGGCACCGGCTGTCCCGCAGTGCCAGACGCTTGCTGCGCCCGACGGGTGCGGAGGGGGTTGAGCCGAGTGGTGATAATTGCGCGCTAATCTTAGTCTGCATCTTAGTCTAGTATTTTTAGTCTGTA